GTGGGTGGTGATGACTAGTTGCCTTCCTTCTAGACTTTCACTGCTAAATTAGGGGCGGCTAGAGCAGAGAGCCCTCGTGTAGCTTTGCGCGAAATTCAAAAAAAAACCAAACAATCCAAGTCGTGGTAGCTATTTAGATTAAAATATTAAGGATTTTGGACTAATAGGGGGTAGAGTTTTTTGATTTGAAACATAAATGTTTGATGCTAGATTAATATGGCGGAGCGTCTCAAGACATCAGGAGAAGCCGTGTTTGTGGCGATCTTGCAACTGGAACATTTAGAAATCCTTATAAACGTTACAAGTCATGCCGGAGATCCTTATAAATGTAACAAGTCACGCCTGAAACGATTGAAGTACTGTGTGTTAAAGAGGCATATCTTTGTTATGATTTGTAACCTGTACGATTACCTAAGTCTAATTATTACTGATATTTTTTAATTATTAGTCACTAATTACTTGCTAGTTTTTATCAACATTTCGGCTGCTAATCTGCTGTTGTCTTCAGGAAAGTCCTGAGTAAGGTTATTTCTTTACTGAATTCTATGTTAGGTTGAATCTCTAGAGCTAATTATATAGGACGAAGATACATCTGACATAGGTGAATATGGCCATGTTTCTGTAATTTTCTTCCTGCTTAATTTTGCTATTTATCTCTTCTTTATTAAGTGTGATATGTACCTATTGTTAATGAGGGATGAGGGATGTATTTTCTTCCTTCTTCTTAGCATCCTCGGTATTATAAACCTTCTTATTTCTGGAAACTAGGCTGTCTATGACGTCCGTCTTTGCACTGAAGTAATTATCCGTAGTTGTGGGTTTCATGTTAACTCTCGTGGAATGGGAGTTTATCTTCTTATACTTCAGTTGTGATTGGTATTGCAGGATGTTGTCTGTTCAGATGGATTTTTGAAACTTGTCTGCGTGTGTGTGTGCCGCATTATGAATGTATAATGAACACATCTACGTCAAATACCGGGGCTTAGAACGGCTATTGAGAGCACTGTAATCAAAATACTCCAAGTAGACATTACTGAGTGCTAGTGATAAGGGGGCCATGGCTAAGTCTTCTTGGTAGTATTTATCTTCATTTTGGAAGTACGTTGTGTTGATACAGAGGGTTGTTGTTCTGTTAAAGTAAAGATTGTCAAATTGGTGCTTTTCTTGAAAGTTCTGTCATTTTCAATCTATTGGTGAGTATCTGTAGTGTTTCAAGGATTAGTATCTTAGTGGATAGATTGGATACCTAAAGCTGGTTATTGTGTATTATAAAGTTATCATGGTTGTTTTTACAATCTCTACAAAATAGGCCGAGTTTTTAACACGTGAGGACGATGTACCTGTTAATAATTATATTACATCTACAGGATATCTAGATAAGGGATGGAATTGTGAACCTTTGCAGTCAATTAAAAGATGGAGAAAGTAGCTTTGCTTGTGAATTTTAGGTAGACCATAACTGTTTTGAAAGGTGACGTGTTGTAATATTAGAGGTTTGATTTTTTTCTGTTCGAAGTCCATTCTGATGTTTCTTGAGGACTTGATTAATCTTTATTCTGCGTAAGCGATTGGGTTAGACTTGATTAAATGAAAAAAAAATCCTAAATCAAAACTCTCTCTGAAAACGTATAGAAGATATATATACACAGCATAAATGAAGTAAGAACAGAACTGAGAATTCGGAAGCCACAATACAACACAACCAAAGTTCGTACACACCAAACCACCTAAAGATAAAATGGAGAACAAAACACCATTGAAAGCATTTATCCTGATTGTAGATTCCATTATATTTGAGATACAAAAATATGAACAAAAACTGGAATTCAGGAACATAATAAAGCGTCACGGTAAGTTGTAACATCATTGAAGTAATGGGATATGAACCAAACACAAGAAAAAGAAAGATGAAAGAAACCTTTCAAATCCACCTAACTAACACATTCAGCCAATCTAACACAGAATTCAACAAAACCTGGATACCCCCCTTGAAAATGTTTAAATAACTTAATTAATTAAACCCTTTTAGGGGGGATTAGACGAGTGGCTAGCTCAACAGTCTCTCTGTCAAGAAGATCCAGTATTGCCTTATAGTAACCATCACTCTTTCTTTCAAGAGGATCCAGGATCACTTTATAGTTATTATCACCCTTTCTGTCAAGAAGATCCAGGATCACGTTACAGTTATTATCACCCTCTCTGTCAAGAAGATCCAGGACCACGTTACAGTTATTATCACCCTCTCTGTCAAGAAGATCCAGGACCGCGTTACAGTTATTATCACCTTCTCTGTCAAGAAGATTCAGGATCACTTTACAGTTATCATCACCCTCTCTGTCAAGAAGATCCAGGATTACTTTACAGTTATCATCACCCTCTCTGTCAAGAAGATCCAGGACCACGTTACAGCTATTATCACCCTCTCTGTCAAGAAGATCCAGGATCACTTTACAGTTATCATCACCCTCTCTGTCAAGAAGATCCAGGACCGCGTTACAGTTATTATCACCCTCTCTGTCAAGAAGATCCAGGATCACTTTACAGTTATCATCACCCTCTCTGTCAAGAAGATCAAGGATCACTTTACAGTTATCATCACTCTCTCTGTCAAGAAGATCCAGAATCACTTTACAGTTATCATCACCCTCCCTGTCAAGAAGATCCAGAATCACTTTACAGTTATCATCACCGTCTCTGTCAAGAAGATCCAGAATCACTTTACAGTTATCATCACCCTCCCTGTCAAGAAGATCCAGAATCACTTTACAGTTATCATCACCGTCTCTGTCAAGAAGATCCAGGACCGCGTTACAGTTATCATTACCCTCTCTGTCAAGAAGATCCAGAATCACTTTACAGTTATCATCACCCTCCCTGTCAAGAAGATCCAGAATCACTTTACAGTTATCATCACCCTCCCTGTCAAGAAGATCCAGAATCACTTTACAGTTATCATCACCGTCTCTGTCAAGAAGATCCAGAATCACTTTACAGTTATCATCACCGTCTCTGTCAAGAAGATCCAGAATCACTTTACAGTTATCATCACCGTCTCTGTCAAGAAGATCCAGAATCACTTTACAGTTATCATCACCGTCTCTGTCAAGAAGATCCAGGACCGCGTTACAGTTATTATCACCGTCTCTGCAAAATATTATTTTAAAATGTATCCCATAAAGCCTCATGAAACACTGAATTAGCTTTCATACAGCTTTTGTACATTATGTTCATATTACTATTTCAGTTAGAGTTTATATTTTGATTGTTTGTCTGTTTGTACTTAAGCACAAAGCTACACAATGGGCTATCTGTGCTCTGCCCACCACGGGTATCGAAACTCTGTTTCTAGCGTTGTAAGTGCGCATTTTGAAGTTGTGTAGCATTATATGAAAACAAACACTAAATTTATCACGAGACATTTTAATACATTGTACTAAAGACACGTCACTACATAAAAAAAGAATAAAGCATTCAAACACGTGAATTATAGTCAAAAATAATTACTTTGTGTTATTTGTTCATACTGCACGTTCAATTCAAACTAAATATGTGAGATTTCAGTTTGTAGTCTCAAAAAATTAGCTCATAAACTATGTTACATTTCAAAACAGATATTTGCCTCACAAATATTTTGAAAGATCATCAAATATATTAATTGTCAGTTACAAAACAGTGTTCTGTGATTTTCTTATATAAAACTCATGCTTCACCATAGCCCAATATGCTATCATTAATATATGTAAGTAGAGTCAACGATTTAACAAGTATCACATATACTGAAACATTTATTAACAAAACTTCAAGATATGCTAATATATTTTTATTAAAACATCTTGGTTTATAAAATACTGTTCTACAGCCCAAAGAAATAGTACCTACCTGTTTTAGCACGATATCAGTCAACTAGAATAAATAACAATAAACGAAACATAAGGGACACTCCACAAAGTGATTCGAGCTAATATCATCATAGAAAGTTTCTCCATTTTGAAATTCTACAAAACATGTCATACATTTGAAATCCGTAACTAATTTGATTGTCCCCCGTCGTGCTTAACAATAGATCATTTAACCCTCGCATTACACCTCTCTTATCGCATAAAACTGATGTGTTTCACCGTAGCCTAATATGCTATCGTCAACATATCTAAGTAAAATCACAGACTTGTCAAGTATCACACATACTGAAGCATTTATTAACAAAACTTCAAGTTAAATATTAAGACTTTATTTGCAATTTATCAAAATAATGTGCATACATTCTAATTTTGAAGCTTTTAAGAACAAAATCTGTAAAAGTTCTTAACAAAATATGTTAATTATGTTGCTTCTTACGATAAAGATATGGTCTACAAGAAAAGACGATTCTTTCACATTTTATATATACCTCTAATTTACTGTTTATCATTACAAAATATACTTTACATACAAAATAAGTTGTATGTAAGTCTAACAACGAAGAACGGTTTTTGTATGTCACTGAAGTGAACAGTAAGTAAAAAACGAATTTATCTGTTATTCCATTGTAACGTAGATAAAGCTAAATGAAAATTCATGACATTTTTAAGATTTGAGGGTGAATTAGGAAGTTATTTGTTTTCGATCTAGAACTCACATATTTGTAGTTTAAAACTACTATCGTTTACAAATATGACTTACCAAAATTTATACATAGTTTACCTTCTTCAGGGTGTATTTCTTTAGACATAAAATATCAGTATCATTCATCTTGTAATTTGGGCTGCGTTCTTCATATCCATCCAAGGGGCAAGTTCCACTGAAAGCTGGATACCTTTTGATACTTAGGAATAACACAAACTGAAACATGTATGAATTATAAACCACTCCATTGCCAAGTTTATACTAGACTTTCATACAAGTCTAGTACATTTCAGTTAACATACAATTCTCGCATACTTTCTACTCAGTTAGACTCTCCTACTGACTTTTGTTCATTAGTCATATGACAGTCAATGTTTGCAACTTGAGAATCAACCTATTCTATTGTAACACAATATTTGAATATAAAGAAAACAAGAACCAATATATTTCATCTGATATATGACAACACAGAACACTGATTGTAACTCTAAATGATAATTTGTAAACATGATAATATTTACGGAAATTAGACATTCACTGTAGTAACGGCAACGTTATCAATATGATGATATTCACTGTAGTAACAGCAACGTTATCAATATGATGATATTCACTGTAGTAACAGCAACGTTATCAATATGATGATATTCACTGTAGTAACAGCAACGTTATCAATATGATGATATTCACTGTAGTAACAGCAACGTTATCAATAAGATGATATTCACTGTAGTAACAGCAACGTTATCAATAAGATGATATTCACTGTAGTAACGGCAACGTTATCAATATGATGATATTCACCGTATTCAATATGATAAATTATCATTCATTTATATTTTATGTAAGATCATAATCACCAGCTGCTTTAGTGCTGAAATAAAAGATGTCATGTGTTGATGCTTTGAATGAGGCAGAGTTAACAGGCTCTTGTATGATATAAAGGACGGAGAATGTGTTAAATACTGTGATGTTACATCACTCATCAATGGAACAAGTACTGTGAATACCATAGTGGACGTTTTCAATACGATGATATACTTACGAAATGTACGGTCTACAAGAAAAGACATATCTACCCTTCACATGAAATCAGATTATAAAGAGCATTCATGTAAATTCACATACGTGTCAGACGTTCACGAACATTATTATATTTATATCCAGATACCACTGATCAAAACCATGTTTATTATAATTAAGATAGTATTATTCCTACCGTATATAACATAATAACAGGGTTTTAGTTTTACATCTAAAACGTCAACGAAATTGTTATAAGATTTACGAAAATTAGTAAAGTTCATTGTATTAACAGAAATACGATAAAATCACAACACGCTATCACATGGTTCTCCCTTAAGTTACATTAATAATAAAAAAAACAACCTGTTCTTTTGTTGTAAGCTGTACGGTCTTACGAGGAGGATTAACCAGAAACGTCATCCTCATCAAATAAAATCAAAAACAAACTTGGTAATTGTTTAACCTCTTCTTTAATTTTGATATCTTTGTCGCCTATGTGGTTAACTATATATATTTTATTTCTTATATTAAGGAGCCAACGTTGCTTAGTTGGTATAAGATTGCTGTTGTTGTTGTTTGTAGTTAGGTACACAGCTACACAATGGGCTATCTGTTCTCTGCCCACCACGGGTATCGAAACACGGTTTCTAGCGTTGTAAGTCCGCAGACATACCACTGGGGGGCTGTATGGATAAGAGAATATCATCTACTTTTGAAGTAGTTTTGCGATCATCGATAAATTCGTTCTTTTGACAGTAAATATGTGTACAACGTGGAGCCTCTTGATTTTGTAGTGTCTATTTTCGTTGTTGAAAAGAAAAAAAGAAATTCAGGGTCCTGTGTTTGACGGCAGCTTCGAGACCGTCTAGGTTCACAGCCAAGGCTCTCTAAGATGTAGACAAACACTCCGATAATAGGTGATGTAGTTTCCTTTGTATAGTAAATAGAGTCGCAAAAACTTATATTCAAACGTACGACGATTTTCTTGAATTACGTCCGAACACACAGCAGTAAGACTGATAATATTGCTTTACCGACCCTTACCAAGAAGGAACTTACCAATATCTGGACTGTGCACACTGCTGCCAACGAGGCCTTTTAGCCAGTACCAGAACTCTTTGGTTAGCTGGAAATGCAATATCTAAAGTTAAACGATGTAACGTTGACGACTGATACATTTCCAGCCGACCCATATGCCAGTTGTAATATCATCACAAGTACTTGACTTGTCACCAACATGGCCAAACCTTGTACGTATATCCACAAAGACATTTATTGGAATATATACCAGTTGTAACATCATCACAAGTACTTGACTTGTCACCAAAATGGCCAAACCTTGTACGTATATCCATAAAGACACTTACAGTTGTAACATCATCACAAGCACGTTATGGGGATGGAAAACTGACTTGAATGTGGAACCAGCTTGGAGACTCAAACACCCGAGTAATTTTTTTAATCGATCACATGGAATAAGTGGATTCTATCATGACATAATTTATTATGTACAAACTGATTCATATCAAAATTATTCAACACGTATACAAGCTATTGAGCTTTTAATGCAATTTTAAGGGCAAAATTTAATTAAATCCGTACAGTAAGAACAGTATGTGGGAAGCATTTGTTATCTTCATATTATTTAACGAAAAGGTTGTTTGTATTAAAACAGGTAATCACAGGTAATCTATACCAAATGCTTTCATAATTCAAAGTGAACAACTTACAACACTTTGTATATCACATATCTTGTGTTTCATTTCTATCATATCGACTAATTTATACGAACTATACTAAATGCTTTCATAATTCAAAGTGAACAACTTACAACACTTCGTATATCACATATCTTGTGTTTCATTTCTATCATATCGACTAATTTATACGAACTATACTAAATGCTTTCATAATTCAAAGTGAACAACTTACAACACTTCGTATATCACATATCTTGTGTTTCATTTCTATCATATCGACTAATTTATACGAAACAAATTTAACTATATAACAATTTGGACACCGTTGAGCCGCCCAGTGGCACAACGATAAGATTGATGGCTTATAACAATAAAAACTAGGCCTCGATACCCTTGGTGAGTACAGCACAGATAACCCATTGCGCGGCTTTGCGGTTACCTACAAACAAACAACACATAGACAAGCAGACTGAATAGATGAATATGAACGCCCAAGTTGACTTTTTATTTATTTTAGAAATACTACTTTGTGATATAGTAGAGTTTAACTAACATGCTGACTATTATGGTAAGTTCTTTAACAAGGAGCTAATCATAGGGAAATAAAGTAACTTCAAACACAGGAAATTCGAAAATATATCAAATTGTTTAGTGTGTTTCGGGAGTTCAAAGATCCAGACATACATGTCTTCGTACATTATTAGGTACGTAACCATTAATCAAATTAAAGAAATGAAATAAAATGCCACGATAAGTATTGTTTCTTAGACTATTTTAATACAGTAAAGTCAAGAATTACAAAATATTTTGCGAAGAGCTCGGTTTTTTAGTGATGAAATGATGCTCCTACTTATTTA